TTCCATTGCTCTTAACCCCAAAGAAAAATTTACAGCAAGACGCACTTGATAAAAAAAAAGCAAGGTCTTGGAAGGGCAAAGAATTGCCAGAGCACAAGGAAAGTTTTATATGCCATTTTCTTCAATAGTAGTGGTCTTGTTGTTCAGATTCTTATTCGGAAAGGCGGTTCAATTTCTGAACGAGTATAGAAAGCACAATTGTCGCAAAAAATTCAAAAGGTTAATGAAAGGAAGGAACCAGAATAAGGAATCTGCTATATTAACTTTCTTCATGACAACGCTCCGACCCACACATCATGAATAGTAAAGGAGGTTTTTTTTTAGATAAACAGAAATTTAATGTTTTGTCACACGAACAGTATTTGCCAGATCTTTCACCTTTCGAGTTGGGTTTTTTTTCCAAACTTGAAAAAAAAACGCCTTTCAGAAAGAAGAAGCAAGTTCAGAAAATCATAGGATATGTTATATTCCAGTATACGAAGGGTATACTCAAAAATGTGTTTTAAAAAACAATTAGGAATTGGATAAAAAAAAGTTACAGTCATGTGTTTCAATTAAAGGAGAGTATTTAAGGAAAGTCATCAAGACAAAATCATTGAAAAGTGTTTTTTTTTTCTTTCCGAACACCGAGGTTATAATTTATTGAACAGCCCTCGTACATTATACCTTTAAAAAATTTTCAAAGTTGTCAATACAGGCATTGTAAGACATATGCTGAGTTCTGCAATTTGCACCAACGGTATTCTATATACAAAGAATAAGACCATTATAAACCGATTCGCTGGATGATCAATTAAGTGAAATGTATATGTTAAAAAATGCTGGGTTCTGAGTGGCAAATCTAGAGCTCTATAGTGATTCATATACAGGAAAGAGGATGGAATCAAGAGAAAAAGATCTTGCAGAAATGCCTGGTCTGTAAAACCCCAGTGCAGACTTTCTTTTTCATTTAGCATATGCATATTGCATCTTAAATAGTAACTGAAAATATATAATTGCTACAGGCCTTGTAAATGGCCAAAATTAAATTATTCAGTTGTGCCATAGGGCTTTTTTCAAACCGGATTCTAACTTCATTTCCTTAAATCAAAACAGAATCATTATAGGCTCAAATCATTCATTCAGATATTTCTCTTCGTACGAAGGCATAGTTCCTATACCGGAAGTACACATATATAGAAAAAGAGGAAAGTATTATTCTGAATTTCTCTCTTGTACTCATGGACTATCAATTACCGTCAAAACTGGAATAAATGACGTCCAATATTACATGTACAAGTGACTGTAGAGTCTGTTTGTTATAAAATCTGCTTGAGTATCGTCCATATGTTTGGTAACGTCGAAAACTCACTCAATAGAAACAATCTGATTCTAATGTTGAAAGCCTGGTCAGATTGATTTGATTGATATGTGGCGGTAAGACGGGTTCGATCGCCGATGGCTAGATAGCTTAGTTGGTAAAGCACCTGACTGGAGATTCAGGGGGCCCGGATTCGAATTCCGGTCTGACTCGTCCCATTTTCTCCTTTCCCGTTAAATCTGGTGCCGTGCCATGCCCTGGAAGGGACAGGTGAAAGACCTGCCAGGGAAGAGCCTGGGTTTGTGTCTTCGGGGACCGAAGACCTTTAAGGAGGGAAGAATGTGGCGTTCAGACGGGTCGATCGCCAGTGGCCAGATAGCTCAGTTGGTAGAGCACCTGACTGAAGATTCAGGGGGCCCAGATTCCAATCCCGGTCTGGTCCCTCACGTTTTTCTCCCTCCCGTTACACTTATATCTAGAGTGTTAGCTCAGTGCTCGATTTTTATGAATATCGTAAACAATATATGACGTCACGTGCGTGCAAACGCATAAGTAAAATTCATTTGGGGGGATGTGATTCATGAGGTTTTGAACTGATTTTCAATACCTTTTTCCTGGTGTTGAATTAAATATCAATATTATTTGTTTAAGGAATATTTTTGGATTCTTTAGCTTTGTTAAAACCGAGTAACTTTTTATTGTTCACTTTCTAGAACGTGGTCTTATAAAAAAAGTTTATTTATTAAATGTGCCCTGATTTTGATATATTGAAGCTTTTCTCATACACATTGCCACAGACAGAATATACTTAAAAGAGACATGAGTGTCCAATGGAAGGCCAAATAGAAGAAATAAAAGTTAGAATTGCTGAGCCTTTAACATGTACAAATGTAGCTATGGAGCAGAAATCACCTGTGTATCTAAAAACAGTAACAAAACCTATGAAGCTTATTCTTGTAGTTAAATTTTTCATATCCCACATTTTGTGTTTGTTGTCATGTTTATTATTATGGAATAAAAATCGACTAATAAAGGAGAACAATTAGTACATCGAAATTCCAACAGATTGTTAGAAGACCTGGACTCCAAAGACTACATAGATTTTGTCAATGAGGAACTCAAGCATCCCTTTAATATCAAATCAGAGTATCCGATTAATTTTCAACAAATGTTCGTAGATGACCAATCAGAAGATGAGAATTTCCTAGTTCCATTTTCATTGAAGAAGCTGTTGGCTATAATACCAGTATACGAAGGGCATTTTCTTTAACTTATCGTGATGAATAACTATAAAGTGTTCAAAGAGTTTGAAAATAACCCTTCGATATGATGTTACTGATTGGAAAAAAAATTGTGATTTGAATTTTCAAAAAGTTGTTTGGGAAACTGACTAAAAGTTTTCCAATGCTTAATTCCTGTCCAAAGCTAGTTTTTTTTTTTATTTTCCTACAGCAATGCATCTAATGATTTCCCTGATTGATTTTTGTTTGTGTATTGTTGTTTAACCTCCCTCTTGAGAATCTATACTCAGCACTTAGGGCCATTGAGCAGTGAAGGATCTTTTTCGTGCCAGCACCTACTGCGACACGGGACCTCGGTTTATACGGTCTGATTGAAGCTGTAAAGCAATTGGTAAAATTCCCATGAGCTGAGAAAAGTTTCTTCCTCTGAAACTTATATCCCTGAAACGTCTCTACAGTTTCATTAAATAGAATCAGCAAAACAAATTATAATGCTACTTATGTAATGTGCCTTGAAGACACAGTTAAACTCCATAGGCCTTACAGCATGTTTGGATTTGGATGTTTGCTTGTTCACAACACAATCAAATTTACCAAAGCAAAACTGTCAATAACTGGTTAGCTCTTTCCATAACCAAACAGCTAAAACTAATGGAAACAACTAAAGAAAATCAAGTCTTTTAAATCATTATAGTACTTCCAACTTAACTGGCAGTTAAACTGCTTTATGACATCAATAGTTACACAAAAAGTGCATATTGTACAGGTTTTTATCTTATTGGCAATTGAAAAGTTCGAACTTCCTATGAATAATGAAAAGATATGTAAATTATTTACAGTGTAATGAATACAAGTACTTGAAATTAAATTTGAATTATCATTCATCATGTTAAGTTTCGAAGGGGTGGGATGTATGTTTATGAAAATAGTTGCAAAGTTTCGTATTTTTATTTTTGAAAACCTCCAAAAGTAATGGTAATGCATTACTTTGCTAAAGTAATGGTAATGTAATGCATTATTTAAGAAATTGAAGTAATGGTAATTTAATGTCCAAATTCTTAAAGAAATGGTAATGTAATACATTTCTTTACAATATAATTTGCCCCAAGACTGATTGCAGGGATATTCTTCCAATTATCAATTGTTTGTTTCTTACTATATTTTTGACAGGTAATCATATATAACCCCATAAAGTTTAAGTACCAACCCAATAGGTAAAATATGCAGCTTAGCTAAAAGCAGGCCATAATTCTACACAAATTAACTTCCTCTGCATTTCGTTAATCAGGTGATCTCAGTGTTCGTTGCATATGTCAACGTTTCTGACATAGCATGCTCTCTAGGCCCATAGTATTGTAACCTTAGCTAAAAGCCCTGCAGGGTGAAACTTTGTTTAAATGACTGACTGTTTATTTGGTTGTGGTAGCCTAGTGGAAGGGCGTTTGATTCGTGATCGGGAGATACCGGGTTTGATTCGATTTGTGGTCCGCCAAAGCCCGTTTAACTTTATCATATTGTGATATCAATCTCTCAAATACGATTTACTTTTAAACTCATTTACGAAGAAGGAGCCTTCTAAAATTTACTAAAATTTAGAGTTACAATGTATTAGAGTACTTTTGATAAACACATCAAGCTTTCCCTAGTGGAAGATGGGGAGCATCAAACATGGCTTTTTAAGCTTTCACTAACAAACTTATATCTATTTACTAATGAAAGTGTAACCAATCTTGTTAAATTGGTCTTATATATTACTTCAATCTGGTCAATTCTCAACTGCATATAGAAAGCAAAACGGGCTTTGACTGATCACTTGTCGATTGCTGCTCGTTACAAATGCCGTACTCGTATTCAATCATTTAGATTGATTAGTAATATCTGTGATGTTGCTTGGTTGTTTCATATGCTAAGTAAGATTGATTTCATTGACATCAAACATCCAATCCATGCGCGGATCTAGAGGGAAGGTCGGGTGGGGGTCCGGAACCCCCTGGAATTTGCGTTTTTAAAAATCATATAATATTTCTGCTGAAGCAAATAAAGAATAACTTTGCCCCCCCCCCCCCAGAAAACGTGGACACAACTACACCCACAAAATAGGTTTTTCACGTTTCGGATATGGATTTTACTCTTTTTATGATTTTTTTTTAATTGTCAAGAAATTTCTGGGTTGGAAATTATTTGACTTGGGTGGAGCCCCTCCCCCCTTAAAAAAATCCTGGATCCGCGCCTGCAATCGATGAGTAATATGGCAATAAGTTAAAAATTATATTTTTTTACTTACAGGCGAACTGACAAGCTGTTATTGAAAACATTTATTTTAAATACGATCTCTCATTTTTCATCAAATCACGACATTGTTCATCACGCAACATGCGGCATGTTTTTATAGATATGATTTATAAGGGGAAGGAAAAAACTAGGAGTTCTGTTCATTCCGCTGTACGCTGCAGAAGGATTATACATTCAATATGCTTAAAGCATTGTCTTTCTTCCTTGTATTTTTCTGTGTTGCTAATGGCAATGAGTCTTGTGACCGGAAGGAGATGGAACACTTAATATGTAGTCTCTGTGGACAAAAGAAAGGAAGTGAACTATCTACATCCGGTAACTTATATCTTCAAAGAAAAAAATTATGTTTATAATTTACATTATAAAAAATCTTCTGATTGTGATCAGGGTATATTTATTAAATATATGCTAGCTTATGTTAATTTCTTCCTCGATTTTTGTTAATTTTTTTTCTTGTAATGTTATTCGACAAAAATATTTTTGTAACTCAGGTGTACAATTCAACAAAACTGACGGTAAATTTTGGATTAATACTGCTACCTTTAATTTCTCAGGTACACAAATTGCGTTTTATGCATATATGTCCAGTAATATAAAGATCAAAACGTTATCCAAACAAAAAATATTTGTTTATGATCGTGTTGAAACAAACATTGGAAACGGATATGACGCTAGATCTGGAAAGTTCATCGCTCCTGAGAACGGGGTTTACGTCATACACACAACGACTGTTGCGTACGATAGATCTTACAGCATTATAGAAATAGTACAAAATGGCGTTATTAAGGACATAGGATTGGCTGACGCCTTTGATCACGCTGACAGAGCCTCTTCCTCAACATTAACCATTTTGAATTTGAAGAAAGGAGATGTTGTGAATACCAGAGTTGGTCCACACTATGGAGGAAATTATCTAGAGAGCATTACGTGGGCCAGAATGAGTTTCTCTGGATTTAAACTCATGTAAAATAAATAGTCTGAAAATAAATTTGAATACAATTATTACATGTATGTTACTTTTGATTCAATGCTTTATCACAAAAAGTCGCAAAAAGAGATATCTAAATGAAACAAAAAGTCGGTTATTGAAGTCAAGTCAATACAGGCATAATACAGCAATGACGATTATTGTGCAGAGTTCCGAAAACTGAACTTGCGTTATTCTGTATATGGTGGTTTTATTAATGTCTAACAATGTAGTGGCCTACGGCACAATATTTCTTCCAAATATTTCACTTACTGAGACAGGCATGAAATGGAACACGTATCTGTCAGACAACTCTGTTTCTACAATCATCGTTGGCTATTGCGATTTCCGCCATTTTTTAAACCGCTAAAACATTTATCGCGGCACTTCTTAACTTCTCGGACGCAAATACGATTGACATACTGTAATATACATGTATATCATACTCTGACATCTTAACCACTACATGTATACTTTTAAACAAAAGATGAATGACGTTTTATAACGCAATTTTTCTGTAATATATTGTTTCTAATTTGTAAATCAATCAAGAGAACGATTTTGAGAAGAAATTCCAAAACAACATATCGAAACCTGCCGGTGTTACATGAATGAAAAGATTGTCAGAACAGCAATAACAGAGAGAAGGCAATGGGAAGACATGGTGCATCTGCATAATGCATCTGGGAACGTCAATGCAAAAGGAGGACTTGTGGCTGAATTCCGTGAAATAAATGCACTTGTTATCAGAAGCTACATGTTCCAACATATGAATATCTATAAAGAAACATGGGATTCACAAGATGGATGTATGAAAAACTAGACTGATCTTGTCATGATAAGTCAGAGATTTAAAAAAAAAAACAAGACCTCAGTTATGTAAGAGTTAACCGAGGAGCATACGAAAACCCAGATCACTTTCTAGTACTTGGCGAATTGAAAATAAGTCTAGCAAACTCAGGAAGAGGGGGGATAAGCGCATTGAGTACAATGTTGAAAAACACGAATCGAAGAAAAATCCAACTAGAGAATCGAATTCAAAGTCTAGAAACCACGGAAGAACTCGATGAATAAATAAAATACAGGCAAAGACATTTTTTTAAACACAAGTGTTGAAATCTTAGCAAAAATGTATGAAAAAATTGATGTCACTAAAAAATTGGCAGGAAGCTAAGGAAGTAGAGCAATTCAAGGATGCAAAAACAAGATTGCAGAGACGTAACCTCAAAACTACATGTAAATAACAGGAGCTAGACGAAGACGTTGATCATAACTGCAAGCAAGAAAAAAGACTTTTTTTTTATTAATGAGTTTCACAGGATGAACCTACACAATTCTGTCAACTGAATGGCCACTGAAAAGTCTGGAAAGGTCACTGAATGGCAGAGCTCTGCCATTCAGTCACAATTCAGTGGACTTTCAGTCACCTTTCAGTTAACTGAATGGCAGAGTTCCATCCTGTGTTTGTTTAGGAAGCTGAGCTGGCAGCCCATAAAGGAGATTTGAAGACATATAACATCATTGAAACTCTGGGAAGCCAACCCTGTCAAAAAGAAAAGAAATATTGGTATAGCTAGATCTAGAGGAACAACTAAATAGATGGAGCAAACACATCCAAGTAATGCTAAACAGACCAAACTCTAGAATACCAATAACAATTTACCTAAGGAAGGACCTGAATGCAAAAATAGATGGAAGAAGTGAGAAGGAAGGCATGGACAACAGCTAAAAGTTTTAATTTTTTAAAATATGGAAAAAAAACAGCAGAAATTGACGAAATACTAACTGAGGCATTAAGGACAAGAAAAAGGGGAATATATGTATAGACTGTTAAACAAACTATGAGAAGGATGAGAAAATCCCTAATTAGTGGAAGAAGGGACTGATTGTCAAACTACATATACCAAAAAAGGGGAAGTGTAATCTCTGCAAAAAAAAAAAAAAAAAAAAAAAAAAAAACAAGCAAGATTCTAGACAGTTTTTTTTTTTTTTAAAATAGAATAAAAGAGGTAATCGACAAGGTATTAAGAGATTTAGATCGATCAGAATCTGCACAAACCAAAAACTGCATTCTTATCATTTCTTGTAAAAACTTGATTTAAACAAGGTTGTCCCATATTACCAAAAATATTCCTGAAAGTTATCGGCTGGGTAACGAGACAACCCTTTAAAAAAGTGCAAAATGAATTCAGCCCCTCCCTTCGGTGATAGAATATACGACCTAAACTTATTAAAAGACCCTTCACGTCTATCTCACACTTTCACAGACATGAGAGACAATACAAAACAAATGAAACAGGGGAAAGTGAGGCTAAATGTCAATTCCTGGAAAATAAAGTTAATGAGACTCATGGCCATGAATGGGGGATATGTAACATTTAAAGAAATGATATAGAAGAGGTCAGCCAATTTTCCTTTCTTGGTAGTATCATAAACAAACAGGGGAATGACGTAAACATTTAAGCTAAAATAAGCAAATGAATACATGCTTTCGCAATGCTAAAACAACATAGAAGTCTACAGCAACGTCAGAGAAGGCCAAAATAATTTTTTTAACATTAACATGAAGTCCGCCTTTCTTGACATCCTAACCTTTAGCAGGGTTCCCTTGATGGGATTTCTCCTCTCGGGGACCGCTCTTTATGAGTATATCAACAGATCTGTCTTGAAAGCAGAGCATACATGCATGTATGGAATTCGCAATCTTTACCTTTACCCTTAAAGTGATATTTGAAAGAAGGGAATTGGCTCGCACAGGGGGACATCTTTGGCACCAATGGCAGTCTCATGCAAAGAAATACTTGATTATATGTAGAAAAACTTGTTAGAGTAACTGCAAAGATTCAGGAAGAAATTACCTTGCAGTGCTCTATGCAGCTGTGCTGCTCTGAAGATTAGGTCTAATGAGTGCTATAAAACATAACAACCCGTACTTTGGCACATGCTTACTTCATATATACATAAAATAACACTTTAATCGTATGTTGAACCAAATATTGATTGAACATACCAAAGATTATTATTAAATTGTTTGAGAAAAAAAAATTGAAATGCTGAATAAGCAATATAAGAAATAACACCATTTTGAAAATCATGGCCGCGATTTCGAAAATGGTTGAAACTTGAATGACCAACAATATTTCCTATTTAGGTATTAGAAAATTGGAGCTTGTCTCACTAAGTGAAATATTTCTTTTTAACTATCTGCTCCACTACAATTTGGTCTTTTTGACACAAAATACAGTCTGGTGATTGGTATGTAGTGGATAAACTACCTTAAAGTTGTCTTATTCTTTCATTAGTAGAATGTTAGAGGTATTTGCAAAACACTGTAGGTATTTCACTGTTCGTGATGTTCTGACGCTTTCCAGGTCGACAAGTTTAAATACTACGTCACATTGTTACCAGACCAAAGAAGTAACCGAGATCCATTCTCTCCCATGCTAAAGTCGGTCAACCTTTTACACATCGCCGACGACTAACAGTTCATAAAAAGGGACAGACAGTCCGCCGTCCTTTTATCGAATATTAACTGCATAATAAAATGTCCTTTTTATGCAATTTTAGTCCGTAATGAATTCAAATTAGGTCGTTTATTTTATTGAATTATTCCATATCAAATTTCACTTTTTTCATATTTGCGTATAAAAAGTAGTGCATGATTATATGCGTATCAAACCAGTTCATGCTTTCTGAAATTGTAGCAATTTATTACAAATTACTGCTGAATATGGAGCCCAGTAAGTACTATCTACACATATATTTGAGAGAGATAGTAAAGAGGGAGGAGGGACGTGCACATTTACGTTCAAATTTTATCGATTGAAGTTCAATACATTTTTAAGCTGTTATACATTTTGTATTCACATATAGTATTATTAACACCGAACGGCAGAATGTAAAGCCTATATTTAATTACACATACACCTCTTGATTCTGAGAGGTGGGCTGGCAGATTTTGAAAATAAATAAGCTGTCCTTGAAAATATTGAAAAAAAATAATCTGTCGTCGAACCGGCAAGAAAATAAATAATATGTCCTTTACTAGTCCTACTAACCCTCGCATCCCCCTCCCCCACGAAATAGAGTTTCCGCTTTTTATTCTTTTGCTTGGCATTTTTTTTTTCAGAGTAGAAGAAAATAGGAAAATAAATAATTTGTCCTTGACTGATATAATGATATGAAAATAAATAAGCTGACTCGAAAAGTTTTGCCAGCCCCCCCCCCCCCCCCATTCAAAATCAAATGATTATGCCCTAATTGGACTGAAAAGGTACATTTGTACTGTATGCATGCGTGTTCTAGGGGTTCCTTTGGCCGGCCTCTATTCCTTTTTCCCTGAGGTGTAAATCGAAGCGCAACCATTGGCTGCAAATTGGGATTGGGTGGCATGCTTAGAACATGATAAAGTCATCGCCAGCGTCTTGTTTGGGTGGTCTGTGATATTGTTTGCATCGCCGTTTTATTCAGCAGTTCTTCATCAGAAACGGTGTTAGGCTAGAAGATCTTAAAAATATGTATGGGATTTGGTTTGGAAGACTTCGAGTTTTCTCTCAATTGCCAAAGAGGGGTTTTTCAGCATTCTAATCCATACAGGAGAACACTGAGGATATTGCTGTTGAAGATCCTGACCTTGGTGTGGATGTTTGACGTTAAGTCCTGTGGATCTCCAAATTGGATACAACACTGCAAAAGCTTGGTTTGCCTTGCTGATCCAGGTGGTGTTGATTTCCTTGTCGCAGTCGCCCATTGTGATACTTTACTTCCCACGTATTTGAACTCCTCAATGTCCACTGGTGGCTTACTTGATCAGTACTGGATGTATGTTAGTAGTGTTTACTCATAAGACCTTTGTCCTTTTGACGTTGACCTTCAATCCGATTTTGTCAGTTATGGCACTGAGGTGCTCTGTCTTCTGCTGGATATCTTGTGTCTGTTAGATAGAAAGTCAAGTATATTCCACGTCCTCTGAATTGAGGTCAGTGTCCATTTCAATCCTTCTTTTCTCCCTTGTTTGACGTTCCTCATGACCCTGTCGATTGCGAAGGAGAATAACACAGGCGACAGAATACATCCTCCTTTCACTCCGGTGTTCACTGCAAATGTGGATGTTATGTATCACTCGGCATTCAAAATTCTCATAGAGGGACTGGATGATGCGAACCACTTTCTGTGGAATGCTGTAGTGGCGCAGGATCTTCCAAAGAGGCTCACGGTGTAGGCTGTCGAAAGCCTTCTCACAATCGACAAATACAGCAAAGAGTGTGCTGTTTCACTCACATGACTGCCCCAGTATCTGCCTTAGTACGAATATATAGTCGATACAGGATTTTCCCTTTCTGAATCCGGCCTACTTCTGGCATAGTATGTCTTCTACGGCAGCTGTGATGCGCTATTGTATGACGCAGCTGAAAACCTTGCTGGTGAGAGAGCGCGAGAAAATGGATACAGTGCTAATATTTTTTAACAGCATAAGTTTTTATGAATGGGAATTGTGCTATTTGCAGTTGTATATATCGGCTCTCTGCCGGGTTCGGCCAAAGCGACATCACTTACATATTAAGCCGTTTGTCACGTGTCAGATTTAAAATTAGAAAATATATGTAATGTTGCAAAGATCGTAAAAGTTCAACAATATACGGGTATCTTTTAGCTATAAAATTTGTTCTTTTTTCTTTGAGACAAATTCCTTAACATGAAAAGTGCTGGGAGCAACTTCCTCATGCTCGGAAATTGTGTAAAATTTAGCTGTCTTTCTATAAACTCCCGGAACAAATGTAATACACATTGAAATAATGTTAAATTAAAACAACATTGCACACCCAGCTCCCAGCACTTTTCAAAATAGTAGATATAATAGCTCATGTGTTTAAAAACTCAGAATTTATAGCGAAGCGGACATAATTGAAGTTTTGATATTTTGGAGGGGCTAAAACTCATGTCCATGTCATGATCGGGGAAAACGAAAAAATCCATAGACAATTCAGTATGTAAAGAATGGCCTAACTAATAGTATGAAAAATGTCAGTCAGCATTTGACTTATCATGGATTTATTTGCTGACAAGGTGAATGTATCGACCATAAAACTTATAAAACAGCAAAATAATGACTTCAAACGAAATAACGTTTCTTTCGCATGTCATGCTTGTCTCCTATTAAATGAATCAAAAATGACAAAAATTAAATAGATTTTTTTTTTTAAAGATTGTTTAACGAAATATTTTTTTTTTTATAGATGCAAGCTATTGAACATAAATGGTATCATATTCCTTGACCGTCGTTGGGCGAGACATGTTTTGTTGTGAATTATGAGTGTGTAACAAATCGGAATAGTCCACTTGTCGGTAAAACAGGAATATGAAATATGAAGGAAAACTTACCGAATTCACTGCTTCAGTGTTACTTGCCATATACGATAAGTTAAATGTACAATGTAATAAATAAACATTCTAAAATCAGGCTATAAGAACATACTTTTTAAGTTTCATTGAAGCTACCACACCCATTCAATAGAACATACATTCCAAAGAAAATGCACGAAGATCATGACGAAGATAATGTATCGTGTCCCGCCTTTCATACTAGATAAATGGACTAATGCCGTTGTAAAGAAGTGCAGAAAAAGATTACACAGACATGTCTGTATTTGGAATTGCATGGAATAAGAAGTTGAATGCAAAACGAATAAAAGAAATAGATATATCAATAATTATCATAATTATAATAATATATCAATAATTTTCATCATTATCAGATTATTTCATTTGTAACAGTTATTGTCAAAACTCAAGTAACAAATTCCGATGTGAATCTGCTTGCACAAAATTTGGCTGGCTAGCTTTCATCCTGTAATTCCGCACTATGAAAAAAAAAACATTTAAACTGCCTGAAGCTCGTTACGTCAGACAATGAGAGCAAAGTAAAAATCGATGATGGCTGCTGCATTGTGCTGGTGTAGTGGTTTCCATATTAAATTTTCACGCAGGCGATCTGATTTTAATCTTTACTTCGTCCGAATTTTTTTTCATTATTTAGCTTAAATTCACGTTTTCATCTTTAGAAATTGGCTTTTTTTTCTGTGTGAATTCTGCGCTATTTTAATTTTTTCATATGAATAAAAAATCTTTGAAATCCTGATATTTCTTTAAAGTTCCCTGATGTATTTTAAGTGTAGTAAAGAGAACATTTAAATTTAAATTCACATGCAAAGAATATCACATAAAAGGTTGGCTATTCGGACGGAAGACCTCTCGTTGCTTGTATCAAGTATATAGTGGATTTATTAAATCAAACTGATTATAAATAAATAAATAAATAAATAAAATAAAATAGGATCAGATGGACACTTTTTTTCCGAACTTACCATTGGAAACGAAAACAAAGGGAATTTCATTTTTGATTTTGTTCCTCGAAAAGTATTTAATTGATTATTTAATATTAATGTAAATATCTCCCCCAAGTTTTTTTTTTTGAGGGGGGGGGGGTTAAAGCCATGCATGGAAAAGAATAACCAGTGTCTAAATAAAAAAAGTTCTATAACAGTGCACTTGAGGAATATGTTATAATAAAGCTGGAAATGCTGTATTTTTTTTTATTTTGCCCGATTTTCAACTGAAATTTTTTTTAACTGCTTTGAGGATATTTTTTTGGAATGAGTTCACTAAACAAAATTTTAGGTGTGAATTGCTTTTGAAAATAAATTTAACCTAATTAAAGTTTTGACATATTAGCAACAAAAATGTATTGTCATAGACTTTAATAATATTTGTAATTCACTTGTTAAATGCAGGTTCAAGAATTTTGTTTTTTCAATACTCAGTTTTAATTTCATACTTCATTTCAAAATACTACAAAGATTTTGTTTGTTTGTATGTTGTTTAACGTCCCTCTCGAGACTTTTCACTCATATGGAGACGCCACCACTTGCCGGTGGAGAGCTGCAAATTTTGTCCTATACTCGGCACTTACGGCCATTGCGCAGTGAGGGATCTTTTTCGTGCCAGCACCTACTGAGACACGGGACCTCGGTTTATACGGTCTCATCCGAAGGACCGGTCTCCACGTCCCACAGTGGGATTCGAACCCACGACGTAAGGATCAACTCCTTACTTCGCGACTCTAAAGCAGACGCTCTAACCACTGCACAACGCGGGCGACTACTAGAATTTAAATTGTGTTTTATCCACCTGAAATGTCTCCTTGGAAATGAAAAACAAGGTTATGATCCACATTTATTCCAGAAATTATAATAACAATTTACATATTCATCAAAATTCAGTGTCTGGTGTTGTGAGGATTCTTTTGAGTTTTTATCTATATTTATCTGGTAGACCTTTGGGTCGATATTTGTTTGGGTCACCTCCATTCCGTCCCCATTCGTTCGCTTCTTGGTCCTTAGCCGTGTCTTCTGGTCCTTCTCCACTCAAGCTGCTCTGATAGAGTTCCCTAAAATCACTAAGTATAAAGAAACGCGAAAATGATTAAAATAGTTAATGAATTAATAAGGACTTAGTTAATTGTAAGTCGAATAAATGGCCCTGATTATTGTATTATCATACTGCTTATATGTCTTTTATTGCTAACCTGAGGACCTTTGCTGCCAATGCACCCCCAGGACCTCTTTTGGCGGCGTCATAGTTACCACGTGCATGGAAGTACTTGTCTGCGTTCTTAACGTTAGCTTCTCTCATGTCTCTGTAAGAACGTAAACAACACAAATCTGTGAAAGGGACATAAAACACGGACCACTGGAAATTCCTGAGATGGGATCAGATGAGGAGTAAGTATCCCCTGTCGACCGGTCACACCCGCCGTAAGATCTATGTATTTATCAGGTAAGCGGAATCACCGGTAGTCAAATTAGTATAAAACAATAGCTAAACAATTGGTATGAAATATGTCGGTTAAAATACGACCCAATGATAAGTTGTACTTATTAAAAAGGTCATTATAACGACCGTGGAATTTTAAAAAATGCTGATTTCAAAAGTTTTTTTTGAAATCCCTCTAACATCAACTTAATTCTTAGTAGCCTGTCTCGGTTCAAAAATTCATCGTACTTAAAGCATGCTCTTGAGTATCGAATAAGTTGGGAGATATACATAACATGTGTAGGTGATTGTGGAATACGAGGGTTGATCAAAAAGTTCGCAAACTATCTCTATATTTACAAATCCACAATTCAGATCAGAATGAAATTAGGCGCACATATAGTCACATACATGTTTGTGAGTTTTCTTCTTCTCATGAAGAAGTTTTTGAATAAATTCTGCATCAAAGGAATATTAAAACAGGTCAGCTAATAAAGGAGCACAATTAATTCCCACGGGTTTCCAATAGATCTAACTGGAATATTACATATATCAACTAAAGTCATGCTTAGTTTTAATAAAAATATAACTCCGGATTTTGGGGGGAAAAATACATTCGCAAACGTAAATACATGTACATCCCTAAGACTTCGGTCAGAAAATCGGGAAATATTTTATAGTCTGGAAGTTCTCTAATGAGCACAGTATGCTCTTTCCGTAATGCATCCCTGAGAGGTCCCACACTCATTTTTTCTAGTAGTTTCAATCGATAATCATGAGTACGCAAATAAATTCTACTAACATTACTAAAACAAATTTCGTTTTACACTTACAAGTATGCTCTTCCCATGTCTATGGCTCCTCCAAAAGCATCCTTAACGAAGTCGATCGCCTCTTCTACCTTCTCTTTGACCTTGTTGTCTGTTTCTGTGGGGTACTGGTGGTCTTCCTTTTCTTGACTGATCCACCAACCTTTTACTACAGCATGCTTTGTCAAAATGAGTGCCATCGAAACCACGACCAGAGTGATTGTCCTCATTATGAAACTGATAAAATAGGCACGTCACTTTTTAAATCAAACTGCAATACAGTCTTTTGTCTTTACAGTGTCATTTGCCGTGTCATTGTGTCTTCATACTAGTATTCAAAAATCAAAGCAAGGTAGCAAAAAACAAGATACATGTAGTACATGCTCTTGTTCTACTAAAATATTATTTACACCAAAAAGCAAGATTAGCATTCTTTAGGTACACATAACATAAAATATATTGATTAATCAAAATACATACACGTACATGTATATCCTTGCAAAACTCGCCAATATACTAGTACTTACATTTTCAGCAGATCTTCTCAAAATAAGTTCAAGACTATAAACAATGGTTTATATAAAAGTAGAATGCAAGTGGCTTCCTGCTTCTTTTTCGATAATGTATTTATGATTATTCCAAAGTAGAACGCAAGTGGCTTCCTGCTTCTTTTTCGATAATGTATTTATGATTATTCCAAAGTAGAACGCAAGTGGCTTCCTGCTTTTTTTCGATAATGTATTTATGATTATTCCAAAGTAGAACGCAAATGGCTTCCTACTTCTTTTTCGATAATGTACTTATATACTTAGACCGTTTTTCTTCCTATTTTGCACATTATTAGTAGCTCCAGGAGAAAACGTATCTGATCCAGAGACTTGCACAGAATAAAAAAGGTATATGAGATTTATAAAGGAAAAAACCTATTCTACGCATTCGGCTTCTCATAACTTCTGGAACCGTACTCGACAATCAGAAGTCCATCTGGCAACGCTCTTTCAATTAATTGTACGCAGAAAATAAATTGGGCAAATTTGAACTTAATTTTGAAGAATATTCTATGTAGATGTCATTTGCCTTGCTTCAAATTTGAATACACTTGGGCACATAAGTCACGCAGGTGATCTATTGCTATCTGATATCGGCCGTCGTTGTCCGTCGTGTGTTACCTTTTTTCAGGGACGACTGAACCAATTCTAACCAATTTTCGTATCTGCGTCAATTAAATATTTTCAACAAATCTACGTTTTGTTTATTTGTTGTTGCATTGAAGTAGAAGTGGGCATTAGTAAAAGAGTACATGTATTAGCATTAGTTAGAATTAATTCAATATCAAAGGGAATTAATCTTGGATCATGTTGAATATTTGGGGAATTAATCTTGGATCATGTTGAATGTTTGGGGAATTAATCTTGGATCATGTTGAATATCTGGGGAATTTATCTTGCATCATGTTGAATATTTGGAGAATTAATTTTGGATCATGTTGAATATTTGGATATCAAAATGATACTGAGATTGTATACAACGTACATTATATGCTGATTTTATGTTACATGTATTATCTAAAAAGGTTAAATAGGAATAGGGAAACATGGAAAGAATAATACATTCTCTATTATGACATCATTACAAAATTCCCAATTAATCCAGTGATATCTTATAAGTCATAGAGTTGTAAAATAACATGTTCACACTAAAGAGGCCAAAGAGCTGCGAACGATGGTATTGTTTAGTCGCCATGCTTCAAGTCATTTTTTCATTTTTCTCCTCAAAAGTCCTTATACTTGAATGGCATTATTTTATGTTTATGAATAGTTACATTTTTATAACTTGTCATGAATTTTGAATTATTTGGGAGAACATAGAGAAAAGCTTTTGTGATTGTGGCTAAATAGTAATAAATGCAAAACGAACAATTTTTGTTTTCAAAACATCCCCCCCCCCCAGTGAAGCACAAAAAAGAAGCTTTTTCAAGATATTGCAAATTTTATTCAGAAAATTCAAATCAAAGTGTAATTGTTTTAGGGGGAGGAGATAGATTTACAGTCCAAAGTTTAGCAAAATGTTTTCAACATTTCAAACGAGATTACAGATATAATTTTTTCCCCAGATATATCAAAAGTGAAGGTAGATCCCTGGTTGGCATTTTTCTGGTTAAAGTAATTTCTTTTCTTGGGAATCTTTAGAAAAACATTTTGAGTACTTAAAAAAAGCCAAAAATACACTTCTTGACAGTTTTTTTTTTAATCAGAATTAATCTTCAAAAGATCTAGATCCCCTTCAACTATCACACGATTAACTCTCCCCAACCCATGGTTCAGATCCAGTATACCCAGGAATATGATGAACAGCAATAAAAATTGCAGCAAAAAGAAAGATAAATATTCATGTCAACTTGAACCAGGATCACGCTTGATCATATATATTAAAATGTATTATACAGTGTACCTTATTTTCTTAACTCCTTAACCTCTTGGAGATAACCTGAATATAATAATGAGTAGAGAGTCCTTCCCAAACTATGAATGTTTTCTTATAGATCAGAGTTCGAGTTCCAGTTGGGGCTAAAGTGTTCATCGTCTAAGAAACTCATGAATCTTTGCTGACCACCAAGGCTCATGGACCTTTTGATTTAAAAAAAACTGAAAACTGATTAGCGAAATATATTTTCTTCAGCTCAAGTAATAGCAAATAATAAATAAAAGCAAACGCCGTGGCAAAAAGCATTTGAAGTCTCTTATTCTGTATATTATAAAAAAGAAACGTGTATTAAACAGTGTGATGGATAATATATGCAAATGACGAACTATTGCAGGGTATTTTGGGAAAATATGAAGAAAACGAATTGTAATCAAGCTCAAAAGTCAAATGAAACAATAAAAATCTGGAGCAGAGCAAACATGGTCCTTTAAAAACAGAGTAGGTTCGATCAGGTGCCATGGAGGAGTAAGCATACTCTGTAAAAAAAAATATAATGCATGGGAGTTAAAAACTCAGTAACTTTACACTTTTTTCTGGAATTCTTGAACTGTGAACTCTCTTGTCGTTCTCTTTGCAGTTAGAAAATTTGAAGTAAATTGAAAAAAACTTCCTGTTTGACAGCCTCCTTTTCGAAAAGCAAAGAAAACGATTTACTTGTAATATGACCAATTATAATTAAATGAGAATAGGGAAGACAATACTATGTGACCACCAATGATGATAAGGTTTCGAAATTTCGATTTTCACCCTGGAGGCGATTTGGTATTTAAAACGACGTTTCTATATTATTGCAAGATAAGTTGCACATTCATTATCTTTACAATATATATAAAAAACGAAAGTAATTGAGTGTGTATAAAAAAAAGAACATATTGTATTTATTCATCAAGAAATACTTCCCGAACCTTTGCATAGGCTGGCGTTAATATGGGAGTCCTTAACCTAGCTGCGAGGTGTAATCCCACGTTAGTTGTTGCAGTCTCCAAGGCCACCTTTCTAGGGCAGCTTGATGATAAAGCCTTTCTCCCAGTCATGAGGAATATCCTCTTTATCCCATATATCTTGGAGTATACGCTGCAATGTGTGAGGTGTTTCTTTTCTTTCTGATTCAGCATCTCGGGACATACACCATTCTCTCCTGGAGATTATCATTCTTCAGTTTACGGATTCCATTTGTCACCTCATTCATGTGGTGTGGCCCATTTCTATCTCAAGGTCCCCTAACAAAAATTCTGGAAACCATGGTCTTTTTGTATAAAAACGTCATTTTTCGACCCCCATTTGACCCCAAGGGTGAAAATAAAAGTTCCGAAACCTTATTGCACATCTACAGGACACCACCAATCATCTTCCAAAAGATGATTAGGCTACTGCGTAAAATGTAGGAGGAGTTCTGGGAACCAGGCTTTTGTATAGAAAAAACATCAGTTTTGGCCCTCTTTTTGCCCTCAGGGTTAGATTGAAAATTCCAGAACCTTGTTGCACATCTATAGGACACCACCTATCATATTCCAAAAGATTATTTGAATTTCTTAAAATGGAGGAGTAATTAGATTAAGAAGAAAGTGTGACTGACAGATTGACGGACGGACCAGGGTAACAACAATATACCCGAACTTTCTTTAGAAATATGTATTATTAGTATATTATTAGTATAATGATGCTTTCACATAAAGTTCATTTTTTTCTGGCACAGTTGTTCTTGAGAAGAATTTTTAAAGATGCCTGTAAATTTTCATTTATTCTTATTTATCTTCCCTTGAAGGAGAGCATGGCCCTTCATTTGAACAAACGTGAATCCCCTTTATCCACAAATGCTTTGTGGCAAGTTTGGTTGAAATTGGCCAGTAGTTCATGAGAAGAAGCTGAAAATGTGTAAATTTTACAGTGGAACGGTCAGACGTACGACAGACAAATTGTTATCAGAAAAGCTCATTTGAGCTTTCAACTCAGGTGAGCTATAAATGTTGACCCCAACCCCAATTATATTGGCACATGTGTACGAATAACGTAAAAATATTTTCCAGATAATTATTACTGCTGAACAAAAATATTAACATTCAATCTGCTAGTATATATAACGAGAATAAAAGATTATGCATATCAAGAATTGTGGTATCTTGGCATATAATAGTGGTGTAGATTAATCCTGGACACAATCTTCTGACCAAAACCTTTTTTCTCCCTACAGTATTGCGAATAATGCACATCATAATTACTTTGCTTTTAACAAATTGGACACGTTTAAGGAAATAAGCCTTTGTTCGTGAAACATGAAAATACTTCCCTTCCTGATGCAGCTTTAAGACATTTTTTTTTTTACTCACGAATTTAATTATTATTTAATTCTGGCTATAGAATAGAAAATCATTGAAAAGAAAAGGGAATCCTAAGAAGTTATGTAAAAAGTGATAAAAGATATGAACAAAGAATTAATATCAATATTGAATAAAAGAACTTAAAAAGAAACGTTGTCCTTTGATGAGTGCAAAAATTACATTTATTTATTGAAGATTTCTGTTTTCCTTTTTGAAAAAAAGGGGAAGTGGAAACACATGATAATTAGTACACAGGGAAAAAAATGAAAATATAATTAGGTAAATATTTAATCTGAATATCGGTAATTTGTCTGATATTATTTCCAAACATGGGACGCCTTATGAAATTCGTCTGTTTGTTAATTCTACAACCATTCTGTCAAAAAGCGTTCCGACATATAACCCTCTGCGGTGGACATGTAGTGTCAC